CATACATACATATATGTTAATACGCTAATCTAAAAATTTCTTCCAGTGTTTTTTTTTTTGTAAGTGCAGACAGATCTAGTAAGGCAATGCCTCTTTTTTATGCGGCAAAGTAGTTTATGTGGTTGATGCGGTTAGGGTCATAAATATGTCAAGTGTAGTTTTGATAAATAAGAGTTATTGCTTGACTACAAAAAAACAAAAAAAAAAAAAAAGCAAATACACGTAGCTCTGAAGCAATAAAAGAAGCGTAATAAAAGCTGGTACAATTTGTTGCATTGATTGAAGTGGCAATAAAAATAGAAATTAAAAATCGTATACCATGAAACAGGAAATACACCCGAACCAATGGCTTTACATGTCCATTTACATATGTATATGTATGTATGTAAGTGTATGAGTGTGGGTTTAATAGTGCCACTACATTGCTATTTTATTACACCAGCCAATTCATAGACTTTCCAACTTTCCGATTGCGCCAACTGTACGACATTCAAATGCCACCAATTGACTTTTTACAACGTGTTTAATGCGTTAAAAAGTGACCGAAACGAGTAGTTGGTCAGTGGACAGTCAACAGTGGTGCTGTTGGTGGCACCACATGGAATCCTTTCGACTTTATCAATTATGTCGGCCATTCATTTACTTTCAAAGCTGCTGGCTCGTAAAAAAATATGATACAACAAAAACGGAATGCATGCATGTAATCCTTTCGCCGCCACACTACATATACATATACATATGTACATATCATCGTGCACATGCTGCGGCAGTTGCGTCTTATCCGTATGTGACAGACGCGGCTGACTACCGCTGGGTGCAACACATAAATTATTACCGTAAAATATCTGCGTCCGCGCTGCCACTGCTGCAAAGTATAAATCTTTTGCCATCTCTCTGTATACAAACATCCATGTTCTGAGTACCTGCTTTATCGCTCCTCCTCTTCTTTCCCAGAGGATTTTATATTTTTTATTCAACTATTTTTATTAAAACCCATATATTGTTTTTTAGCTTTCCACTCGATTTATTTCGCTTTTATTTTCACTTGCTTTACTTGGCTGACTTTGCTTTGTTTGCTTTACGGTGACTAACAGCCAGTCGGTCAGTCGCGGTCAGCACCACACCACTCATAATTAAAGCATCCAAAGCTTGTACCAAAACAGTAGCCAAGTGATGATACTGTTGCTGCTGGCATTTAA